TAAATCAATTTTTATATCAAATTCCAGGAAAACGTAACACTGTAAACTGACTTACATAATTCAGTAAAATCCAGTTTTAGTCTTATTGGCTAGTTTCAACACATTAGTTAATATACAGGTTCTGTGTTTAGCTCTACAGATTGGAATATTGTATATAAACTGGCAGTTTACAATACCATAGTTAAATTAAGAATATAGAGGCTGAATCATTTGAAATTGGCAGTTTTTAAGCATCTTTTGCTTTAAAAATGGCCATTTCACATTGCCCAACCTAAAATGTTATTATTCAAGAAGTTAGCATCAGTTTTCTATTAACTAATGCTAATTCCTTGCTTGAAGGAAAGCACTCATTTCAAATTTGACTTTTTTCTTTTTTTCTGAGAGGGGGTTTACATTATTCTGTGTTCACAGAATATTTTGTTGATATTGTTAAAGGCTGTTTAGAGGGCTATTATTCAGCTGGTATGTACCAGAGCGGCCTCTTTTTTTAAGTGTTCATTCATATTAGTCTTGCTGTCTTCTGTGGTTGCTGCCTGGAGGTTACCAATAGTATCATGATAGTAAACATATTTTATATTGATTTATAGGACTTCTTCAAAGAACCTGAATGCCAATTTTTCTTAGTATTGCAATTATATTCTCCCAACATGTTGCCATTTAAATTTGATTGTGATTTATTTTGTTGTACAAAAGTTTGTAAATTTTTGTTTTGTTTTGAGACATGGTCTCACTCTGCCACCCAGGCTGGAGTGCAGTGGCACGATCTCGGCTCATTGCAGCCTGAACCTCCTGGGGCTCAAGCGATCCTCCCATCTCAGTCCCTCTGAGTAGGTGGGACTACGGGCGAGCATCACCATGCCTGGCTAATTTTTGTATTTTGGTAGAGACAGGGTCTCACTATGTTGCCCAGACTGGTCTCAAACTCCTGGACTCAAGTGATCCACCCACCTCAGCTTCCCAAAGTGCTGGGATTACAGGCATGAGCCATCGTGCCTGGAGAGAAGTTTGTAATTTTGAATGTAGTAAAATTTGTTCATCTATGTGTGTGTATGTATTTCATGCTTTTCTGTCACATTTAAGAAATTCACCCCGATACTGATGTAGTAAAGATATTCCACATTTCTTCAAAAATACTCAAGTTCCATTTTTAATATTTGGGTCTTTAATCTAATTGGAAGTTGGGGGAAGTATTTTGTTCATATAGATAGCCAATTGCCCTAACACCATCAATTGCATGCTATTTTGTTCTCCATTAATTTGTAATTCCTCTCAGTAATATACCAAGTTTCTATACATATTCAAAACTGTTTCTAAGTTCTCTCTACCACACTTTTGTAATTATTGTAGCTTTATAATATAGTTTGATAAAGGCAGAATAGTCTTGCTCTCCTTGGAACTTAATTATTACGTTCAATTTTAAAATCATTTTGTCAACTGCCATAATAAAACACTTTTATGATTTTTGTTGGAACCACATTGAATTTATAGATTAACTTGACAGAACTGACAACTTTGAGATATTGAGTTGTACATGTGAATTATCTTGTTCATTGTTTAATAATATTTTATACTTTTTTTATCATGTCTTTCACATCTTTTCAAAAATTCATTCCTACACAAATTGTGACTGAAAATGGAATCTCTTTTTTTCTATTACATTTAGGTTGTGTCCAGTTTTTACTGTGATAAATAGTGCTGCCTTTTTTTTTTTTTTTTTTTTTTGAGATAAAATCTCACTGTATCACCCAGACTGGAGTGCAGTGGCATGATTTCAGTTCATCGTAACGTCTGCCTCCTGAGTTCAAGCAATTCTCGTGCCTGAGCCTCCCAAGTAGCTGGGATTACAGGCATCCACCATCACACCCAGCTGTATTTTTAGTAGAGATGGGGTTTTGCCATGTTGTCCAGGCTGGCCTCAAACTCCTGACCTCAAGTGATGCGCCTTCCTCTGCCTCCCAAAGTGCTAGGATTACAGGCATAAGCCACCGTGCCTAACCCAA